TCTAATTATTATGTGGTTTAAAAATGTTGGTTATAGTAAGGAATGTCCTAATGATTTCTCTAGTCTTGGTCATTAACATACTTACTATAAGGCGAAAAACGATTGGCAACATTTTAATGATAGCTCCTTTTAAGTCACCAATCCCAGTTAGTCATAAATGAAGACACAAGAGCTTTGTATGTGAGGGCCAATGGATGATGGTGAAGGTTTTACTGTAGAATGCCAGGCAGGTTCTCCCATGGAGGTATGGATGGTTGAATAGTTGAATGAACATTGTATGATGGATCCTGAACAGCATGTAGCTTTGCCTGGGTGGTTACTTTATGGATATACTTGTGTGTGTATGGCTTGTGTGCGGTTGTCTGGAGGCCAAAAGGATGTATCAGATTCCCTGGAGCTGGAGTTACAGGAGGTTGTGAGCCTCTCATGTGGGTGCTGGGATCCAAAGCCAGATCCTTTCAAAGAACAGCCAGCCCTTTTAACATCAGCCTCCTCTCTAGCCTCCTGGGTAAAGCATGCACCTGGCCCTGAATTTCAGAAAGCTAACTTTGAAAGCTCTTATGCTAGAAAATAAACCCACACAGATTATGTTTCCATTTTTATTTGATATTTCCAAATGTAAAAAAGTCAAGATTCTTACACCAGTTCGAATGAGACCATCTCAAGTGAGACCATGCAAAGCGATTCTTCCTTCTCTGCTTCCTACAATGTGATTGACAAAAAGAACTGGATCTCATGTGCTTGGTGGGGAAACACCACACAGGGCTGCTTCTACTTTTCTGCAAGTCAATTTAATTAAAACAATTTCTTTGTTGTTGTTTTTAACTTAGGAGGCACATGGAACTGAAGAATTTAGCTGCCCGATTTTATTCAGCTACTCCACAAATAAGCACACACAGAAGTCTCAGCACTGCAGACGGCAGAGGTCTGAGATGGGAGACATTACCTTTTTAGTAGACTCAACTACTTTTAAGAGAACTGAATCACCTCAGTTCTTTTCCTCTATAATCCTGCTGGTCTCTGGGTTCCAGGAGAGAAATAGGGAGCCCTCGGGTGAAATTGAACAGTGAAGCTGCATTCTGGAAATCCTTTGCTACTGGCAGAGACTAAAGACAGTTGGTTTGCTAAACAGCACTGAAGAAAATCCTGACCCAGGTGACATGACGTAGTCCAAATGTTCCGACCAAAGAAATTATACAACAATATTTATAGGCTAACTTTAAAGAGATGGTTGACATTAATACTGTACATATTTTACATGGCAATACATAGTCCAAGGGTTTATAAAATGAGTTCATGCACTGTTACTCTGAAAATATCATGTACATTTAGACCCCCAAGCACTTGTGATAATGTTAGCTGGAAGCAGTATTCTTCTATACAAAGCAGTCCAGTTTCTCTGTTGTGTTTAGTACATAGAGAAATTGCAGACATTTGTGAGGAAAAAGTCTATTGGCAACTGATAGAAAATGTCAATCTGTGGGTTTTAAAATGTTTCCTTAAAAAAAAAAAGAAAGAAAAAAACAATACATGACCTCTGTACAAAGAAAAATATAAAAGGTCTGAATGATCATGTGTGATTACATAATTCAGAATGAATGTTACTGGTTGAGTTTTTCTACTTTACTCATTACTTTGACAGCGTTAATTTGTAAACTAACATTTTTATTTAGTTCTGCTGCGTTTGTGGCACAAGATCTCATTTTCAGAACCAGTTTTCCTTACACGTAAGGACCATTTCAGCATTTTAGAGGTTAACAAGTTACAGAACAAATGTCTTACTGAATTCCCTGTTTTATGCTTGCCAGTGAGAGTATTTACAAAAGGTTAACGATGGCTACGTCAAGAATGATCTTTTCCTCATCCCACATCTGCCGAAGCTTTCCCTCCCCTGTCACTTCCGACCTGGAGGAAGTGTACGAGTTCCAGACCAGGTTCTCTTTCACAGGATGGCTCCTACGTTCTGGGTCCCCTACAGTTAACTTACACCACAGACCACTCACTGACACTCGGACAACAGGGGAGAGTCAGACGCGCCCTGTCTTAGGCCTGGAACAGCGAAGAACAGGAATGGCCATTTTATTTAGCCGTGACGCAGTCATCACTGACTGGGACTCGAGGTTAGATTCGAATCCTGCGGTAAATTGATTTAACAATCACTAAAGAGATGTCACTAAATCAACAAAAAAAGAACAATCTCCATCGAGGGAAATGTGGCCTTAATGTATCCTATGTTCAAAGGGTCCCAGAGGGAACTGACAACTGAGCATGCTAATAAACGCCTATAAATACAGTTCTCAGGATGAGATGCACTCAATCACATGCAAGCTGCTGACAGTATTTCCCCAGAAGGACGAGCTCTTTGTGTTTTATATTGAATCACTACAGTGGTAGGGGAAACAGTCCTAGTAGGTTGACCGTGACAGTAGGCTGTGAACATTCCAATTCTTGGAGAGAGTGAACTGAAGTACTTGGTCAAAGACTACAGCCCAAATCTGTAGTTTACAAATGGAGATTATGACCCTCTTAAACAAGCTTTGGGGTGGATATATCTTTAAATACTGAGGATCTCTTCATTAATTCCCAACACAAAGATCTGGTGACTATTTCATACTCTAAGAAAAAAAATGGTGTGTGTGAAAATACATACCCAACAACTTATTTAATAAGACCAGGCAAAATAAACCACAGAATGATGTCAAGTGGACAAAAGTGGGGGTGGGGGGTCATAAAAAAATGAAAACCAAAGTAATGGGGTGGAAGGTTATAATTAAGGCTCTAAAAAAATCCCATATGGCTTTGGCATCTTAAAATATTTTTATGCTATTTTGTTGTTTACTTTAAAAGACTTGAAAGCATCTGAAACACATGCAAATTATTTGAAATCCCTGCATGGCAGATTCCGAGTTTGCCAGCAGCAGTCGGATGTGTTAGAAGAAAAGTAAAAAAGCCTCTCCCTGTGACGTGGTGACAGGATGTGGTGGGGGAAGGTCCCCAGCTCTATCTTACACTGGACGGCACCCCGGAGGGCTGTCCAGCGGCCGTCACAAACAAGGCATTGCTGTCCGGGAGGGAAGAGATGGTGGAATTCCCGTTGGCTGGCGAGCACCCCAGCTTTAGTTTTTCCAGATACTCGGCATGGACAGGCTTATGACACTGCAGGACCTTGATTGCGTCTTCTACTTTGAACCACTCTCTCTTCCTTCCTACAGAACAACAGTAAAACAGCGGTTACTGTGAGGTCAGTTTGAAAAAGCATACCCTATCTCACCACAGTGGACCCTCACGTCTCCCAGACTTGCTACTTCTTAAACGACAACATGGCAGGGTGAGGTCATTCAAACGTAGAGACATGTTCACCTTCCCTCTCCAAAGAGCAACCATCAGTTTAGGTGAATTGGAAAAAATGTGTCAGCAGAGAGACAGGAGCTCACCTATATTCACAGAATCTTCCCAGTCTTCCAATATTTCAGTGACTGTCAGAACATAAACATACGTTCTATGCTTCCGGTCTTGGTTCTGCTTGAATAGAAAAGCAAAGCATTTTAATTCACAGGAGGCAGTCATGGGTGGATTTTTCAATGGGAAATCGGCTCTGGCACAGTCAAGTAGTCTAGACGGAAGTGCATGCATGTAAGATAAACATTAAGAAACTGGGCTTTCAAGATGTCTCAGCACATAAAAGCACTGATCTGAGTTGGATCCTGGGAACCTCAGTGGAGAGAACCCATTCCCAAATGTCGTCCTCTAACCTCTACGTGCCTGCATATATGCCCGATTCTTGTTTAATTTAAAAAACAGTGGGGCATGGTAGTTCATGGCTGAAATCGGTACTTGGAGGGCTGAGGCAGGAAGGATCCAGTTCCGGGGCAGCCTGGACTACCTAGCGAGTTCCCAGCCAGCTGAGTTACAACAAAAGAGGCATGAACTAGCTCAAGTGTGGTGGTGCACACCAGGACTCCCAACATTCAGGAGGGTGTGGCAGCAGCCTGCACCACGGAGTGAAGCCGTCTCAATCAGAAAGAAACCAGAGCTTCAGCACTGTCAGTGGGAAAATTGCCAATATGAAACTCGAATAGTTTCATTTACGTATATATACACGCAACTTTGTTTTGTTAAAGAAATCCTTGAGATCTGAATGGAATCTAAAAGCTGTAAACCCTCCCCCTTTCTGCTTTGATGCTGCAAAATCAATGCATTTACTGCCCCATTCACAAGTCACTGAGGTCACTGATGTGGCGTGAGGCAGTTCTAACGTGCTGGGATACTTTCTGAAGGGGAAAACACGCAGGCTGACGTTTTCTGTTAGTGTGCTGTCTCTTTCATAAGTTTTGTTTATGACTTTTCAAAAACTGGGCGCACTGACCGAGGTGTTAATTGTATCCACACAGCACGAAAAAACTGTTGTTTCTCAGTTTAACCAGGAGATGGTGCTGTGGAACTGCAAAACCAATGTTAGAGAGGAATTTCGAGTCCTACCTTAAGAACTATTTTTTTAAATTTTTATTTTATGTGCACTGGTACTTTTGTGTGCATGTACGCCTGTGCGAGGGTGTCGGGTCCTCTGGAACTGTTAGTTACAGACAGTTACGAGCTACAATGTGGGTGCTGGGAATTGAACCCGGGTCCTCTGGAAGAGGCACCAGTGCTCTTAACCACTGAGCCATCTCTCCAGCCACAGGGTTCCCCCCAACACACACCTTGGTTTTTTGAGACAAGGTTTCTGTGTAGCTCTGGCTGTCCTTGAACTCAGACATTCTCCTGCCTCAATGCTGGGATTAAAGGCATGTGATACCACCATTTGTATACTGAATTCCAGTGAGTCATCAGTTCCAAGTAATTTCTAAAGGCTTAAAAATAAATTTTATATGGTTCCATCAGAAAGAGCGAGCTAACTCTTAAATTTTGATAAGGGAAGGCCCCGTGTTCTGAGATACCACATATCTATATCTGAAAGTATGAAATGAATGAATGGACTTGAGAACCCAGCTGCTTTTTTCCATTATCCTGATCACTTCCCAATCCCCTGACTGAAAATTCCATTCAGTCAGTTCCTCTTCAGTTATTTAGTAAGGAGGTGCAGAAGAGGCTCTTATTTTAGCATCTATTCCTTATACTGGTTCTCCAAGCCATTCCAGATGCTGCGCAGGGTCAGGGATCGCTCAAATTGCCGTCTATCCCTTGGTGCGCACTGAATCCATTTCTGTGTATGGTCAGACACAGGTAACCATGGCAACGCCCGTGTGTACAAACTTGAGGGGAAGCAACCCAATCCTCACCACTGACCTGCCTACTGAGTTTCAGAGGAAACTGATTCAGGTTGTTGTTGTGAAAGAATCATGAATTCTAGATCAGCAGAGTGGGGGCTATTTTGTAACTCACCTCGAAGATTCCCAGGAGTCTGCCTAATTTTCCCTTGACTCCAGCCTATTAAAGAAAAGGTTGGTAATTAAAATGTTTATCTTTCATAAGCATTATATTTATAAGCTATGTTGTTTCAGTTTTTGAATTTATACAGCTCAGGCTTTCCCCAGTGAGCCATTCCCTAATCAAGTAGCTTCTTGGCTCAACTAAGATCCACCACCTAGGGTTTGCTATAGAAACCCCGACTGTCTGGTTGGTTAGGTTGATTTTTATTTATTTCACACATACACAAAAGGACAAAGAGTGATAAAAATTAGACTTCTTGACAATTTGGAAAAATCTGTGAATAAAAACAGACATTTCTAACAGAAATGAACTAACAGACTCAGTTCCTTCTTAAAAGCCTGCCTTTTTCCTTCGCCAGGGCTAAAGGGCTACAGTTCTCTAGCTACCTCCCACTGAAGGGTCTTAATTCCTCACCCTGTTACTGCAGCAACCCCAGGGCTTCCTGTGTGTGAAGATGGGAAGCTCTTCCCTCAGGAATTCCTGTCAAGACTTCCCATCTGTCAAGATTCTGAAGCCTTTCCTAATGTACCCCCAAGTCCAAAGGAAGAATATAGACATGTGCTCCCCACTTATACCTTATATGGTCTTTGTGAGTAAAGCAAGTTCCATCCTCAAGGGAAGGGACAAGCAAGGCCACCCACTTGTGATTTTGTACATGAGGATGTGACATATTTTTACGACACAAGAAAATATAAACAACTGGTTTCTTTTTGTTTATTTTTTGAGACAGGGTTTCTCTGTGTATCCCTGGCTGTTCTGGAGCTCACCCTATAGACCAGGCTGGCCTTGAACTCACAGAGATCTTCCTGTCTCTGCCTCCTGAGTGCTGGGATTAAAGGCGTGCACCACTACTGCCCAGCAATTGGTTTCTCATTAGTTTAAAAATTATGGTACAAGTGTCTCTGCTCAATACAATACTGATGCAGCCCTCAGGCAAGGCTATTATATTATACGTTGAGCATTAATCAAACAGCAAATCTGATCAACGGTGAACTAATGCTAATATAACACAATTGCATGTTAATCTAATTCTAGAGGGCTCACATTCATTTTAGTTGTTTACCATGTACAAAAACAAAACAAAAACCTCTTAAGCAAAATGTTAACTATAGCAATATACAATAAACACTTCGATCTCCTCATTCTTGCCTTTCCTCAGGATCACCTGGCAGAAAGCCAGAAGACCCTCCTGTAAAACCCCTCAACAGTGTGTGTGTGTGTGAAAGACAAAATACTTTTCATCTCACCTCTTCATATACTTCCCTCACAGCAGCACCGCCGGGCTCCTCCTCTGGCTCCATCCCGCCTCCTGGGACAATCCACTGGTCTGGGTACCGACTGCTACTCACCAACAGCACCTGCAAGACCCATGATGACCAGGCACTTAAGGCTGAGAAGCACTAAGATGCAACATTCCAAACATTTTCAAGGCTGTAGCTGGAGTCTACATCAGTCTACTCTTAAATGTCACCAAAATCATTCAGGGCACACATTATAACACACACCAACTGTAGCTTATGGTGGGAGATACACCAACAGTCCCATCCACCAAACCATCCTGCACCCATGGACTCATTTATATTGAGACAGGGTTTCACTGTATAGCTTTGGCTAGCCTGGAACCCAGTATGTGGACCAGGCTGGCCTAGAACTAACTCTGCCCTCGTGGGATCATTGAAACCACCAACTTAAGAAGTACAGCTTTCCAGTTCTTAGGCAAATGTATTATTAGCCCTACAGTTGGATACACTGTGGTCATATCAGTTCCTGGCCGGATGCTGGGATCCACACTCAGGTCTCCAGAATTACAAGTATCTTCCTTACCCACAGCCCCACATGTCAGTTACTCCTGAGCTAGAGAACCTTTGTTCTCCCAACAATACAGCCAGGTGGGATTGTGTAACGTTCAGATTTCAGTGCTCACAGATAAAACTATTAGAATTAGTCACTCTTACTCGCTTTCACATATCCCCTGGCTTTTTATGTCCCTGTGACAGCAGAGTTATTGAAAACAGAGACCAC